GTGCTGACGTCAAATTAAATTAGTCTTACTCCATTCTGATTCAATCGAAGAACGTTTCTCGAATGCAAAGTCAATAGCACTTTGCTACATTAGATCCGTTCTATTCTTCGAATTTGCTCTCCATGAGCTGAAGGCAAGATCCTTTCTTGTGAGATGTAGCGTCATTTCGATCCCTTCATTCAGAAAAGAGGCTTTTCATGGACAGATAGCGATCGTTTTCTTGATAAATTAGCGTCGATTAACTACTTATCCAAAATACACAGGTTTTCAAGCCAAATAATATCGATACAATATCATAAATGTTTATGGTAGAAACTTTTATTGTAGCATATACATGTATCTAGGTCTTAGTTGTACGTTATTGTTTAACCTAATTTTTCAAGTAAGTTTTGAACAACTTCTCGGAAATACATCATGAAATACATCATTTTTACACACTTTTACCACCGATGAAGTTAAAAAAAATCGTATAAACGGATTCCCATCATTCGCGAACAGTATTGATGTTCTTTATATGCCTCCTCTGACTTCACTCTTTCAATTGCGAAGTGCTGAAATCTCCCTGAGATGATAGTACTATCACTACTAAATGATCCTCTTCATACTGTATGCAGTGAGCCTGTAGTTCATGGTGATCGATACTGCATTGTTGTGTATTATTTGGTTAGCAGGAAGACGAGATTATCCTTGTCTCGGTACAATGCTTTGGATTAAGCGATTCGTAGATGCGGACTTAGGATATCGTTGATACGACGCTTCTTGATACGGTGTGAGGCTTGTCCCTTGTATTCTAAGACAGGTTACGTCCGATTTCTTGTTCCTCAATTTGTTCATTAATGGCAAACGTGCATTTTTAATTGTTTTTCGTCTCCCTCTGCAGTTGATTCCCCTGAATTCGCATGGGTACGCGAAGCAAGATTTTAACCTAAATTTTGTTGTATTACGCGCGTTGTATTAAATATTTGGTGTGACTGAAACGGAAAACGGGTCGCACGACGAAAACATTGAGAGTTGTCGCGTGTTATGAACGCTCATTTTCCGTGTCTCCTTGTAAACGTGTCAACGCGGAATTCGAGGGGATAAATCTGTCCACAGATGCATACAATACCTCGGTTCGTATCGCTATGTCCCAGAGCTTTCTCATCGATGAAATATCAGTATTTCCTCTCGTCCATGTGTGTGCCAGGCAGGAAACAATAGCTCCCTCATGTCATGTGTCTTTCTCCATAACCTTCACAAGGAACTCGACCACATCGCGCTCGCTTGCTAATGAAGTAAATTGCCATGCGACCGTTGTGTTGGGAGCATTTCGTTTTGACGGACCTTCCAGTGACCGGATGCATGGTTCCCTCAATAGGCTCAGCTGGAGAGGTTTTTGGTGAAGGTCGGGTGGGCAGCAAGGAAGCGGTTGACCACTGAGCCCTTCATCCACGCCACCTTGGCGTGCCGTCTAAGGGTAACTTGAGGACACGTTGTCCTCGACAAACACGTGCGCGCTCAGGAACACAAACACAGTCCCCGTCTTTCAGAAACGATTTCCTCGCTGAATTCATGAGTGCTCGAGAGCACCAACACAAGACAAGTTCTTGAAAATTGTCTTTGTAAGTCTCGCCATGCTAACTCGCATAATAATGAATATGGCGTCATAAAAAAGTCACAAACATTGAAGCTTTCCAGCTGTCAATTTTCTGACCATCTTTGAATTATATTTTACTTGCCACGCAGCCCCTGGAGCACGAGAGAAGAAGCTTTAATTATGCATGTATTGGCAAAGAGTCAAAATTATGGGCACAAAATTTGTGCTGCTGCTGGACCTATCGTTCAGTCGAGTCTCCTACAAAATTCAGGAAGCCAGTTTCCACCGAAATTTTAGATATTGGCATTTTTGCAAACTTGGTTATCGGCACGATTGTTCATCATAAGGTAGTCGGGCATAACTTGAAGCTAATTGTGTATGTTATGAATTATATGAAAATTTGATTTGATTCTTCCCGATATATAATTTCTACCGCTTTCTACGAAACTTATCAATGCGTTTGTTCTTTAGGGAATGGAAACATTCACCAAAGATGAGAGGTTTTGGAAACATTCACGAAAGATGAAACATTCACCAATTGTTTTGAGACGAGCTTCTCATACCAAATTACTGCTTTGAGGAAGCCCTGCGCGGTATGCGGTTGCCTGCTGATCCAGGAGATGGACAAGGACGCCAATTATATGTTACTCGGTTTGAAAAATATCATTGGGATTGTTTTTGTAATTATACGAGTTGATATTTTATACCTTGACAAAATTAATAACAAATTATCGAGTTATTGATCTTGCTAGACAGCTTGAACTTATCTAGAATGGATTTATTTCTTTAAAGGCACGTATAATGAGCAAGTATTGATTTGCTATTTTCTCTGGCTGTATGCCCTGACCTGGTATGTTTAGTGATTGCTTCTGGTACCTTCGCCATGGATTTCTAACACGTTCACATAATAGAATGAAATAATCCATCACATAGTGGTAAATTAATTTTCCATCGGTATGTCTAATAGACCTTGGAAATCTATAGCTCGCCTCCTTCCTAGCTATTTTTTTGTGTTTTCTAATTCATTTTCTTTCATTTTGATGATCATAAAAAGAAACCTAACTGGGATTAAATGCATTGAATATCCTCAAAGCCCATGCGACCACAGTGATTTACGTTTTCTGTAATAAATTTAATTTTCTCTTCCAAACAGCGTATTTTTTTAAGAACAAAAAATTCTGATGGATAAAAAATCGTAATCGTAAATCGTAAGGTTTTAATGTCTTTGCCTGCTTATTTGTTTAGTATGTGAATGTGCTCCTATTTTATACTTTTCCATTTCTGAAGATCGGGCGTTCAAAAACCGTACAATATCCATAATGAGAAACGGATTCTATCTTAACATTGAAATTATTCTACCGGGGTTTTGATCACATCTAAAACATGTTGCTTTCACAACCGCTGCAAATGTTTTCGGAAATTTCATGAACTCCAACGCTTTCAATGTTTGACCCAATATATGTCCGCAGTTTGACACAATATATCAATAAGTTTCCGGAGTTTGACCCAATTATTGAAGTCACGAAAAGTGCAAGAATGGCGACAGGCCATATCAGGCCTATACTTCCGGACATCACCATGCTATTACATTATAAAACTGATATTTTCCAAGGTGTGAAACTGAGTTATACATTCTCTTGTGCATTTCAAATTTCAGTGGTTAATTAAATGTAGGATTGTCTTCAAGGAGAATGCAGTACATCATGTGAGTTCCGTGTCGACGCTGCTTGTGGTCCGGACTTCTTTAGGCTTTAAACCGAATGGACACTTCTCCGAACTCACTTGCGAACTCGCCAATGGATCCACATGCAAAATGTAAGTTACTCAATCATAACTTCTTCAATCATGAACGGATCTGCTGGAAATACGCAATATACCCTAATAACTAGCAATGCTGCGATGGGGGATTGAAGTTTTCAAGTCATTTCATCTTTGATTGCAACGAACAAAAACTCTATTTCTACGCAACTTTCTAGATCCCAAATTCGTCAATTAAGAACGGGACTGCTTGAAATTCACATATAACCATTTATTAGCAATGCGTGAAGGAGGAATTATTACAGATTTTTACTTCAATTCACTTTTCATTAACACGAAACAAACCTTACCTATTCTAACCTACCCACTTTTTAATTAATTTTTGTTTAAATACATAGCGAAATGACGTAATAATCTGGTATAATCCCTCCCTCGCCGCATTGCTAGTTATTAGTTGTATTTTGAATTTCAGGTATGATGAAGTTCCAAGTACGTATAATTCATAATTGTAGGAGTTATGATTGAATAACTTACGTTTTGCGTTCGGATCCGTTGGCGAGTTAGCGATCGAGCTCGGAGCAGTGTCGATTCGGTAAGCTTCAACGTCAACTTCAAATTAACTCGTTTCCAACAAACTAATTCATTTAACTAATTTAGTTACTCTCCTAATTTTAAGCTCATTCCTTAGCTAATTCTATTGTAAATAAAGCCTTCAGACTAGCTGTATAATTTTAAAACATTCATTCTGATTCAATTTGAATCTACACATTTCTTTTAATCAAGAATAGACAGTGCTGTTATCTGTTCAATATGGTCACATAATTCTTTTCGATTAAATCACCAACTTCCTGCTGGACGACAATAAATCATTCTAGCAGAGTATGGAAATGACGGCTTGTTGAACAAGCTTTATTTAAATAAGTTTTCGGCATGTAAAATGTTAACTATTTCTATGTCGCTCACAATGATTAATGTACACTTACGACATGCTAAATTATTTATTCTTGTGAAAATTGGCCGATGATTAATGATTATAACTTTCTCACTTGTTATTACTATCTCCAAGTTTGCAATAAGCTGGTTATGCTTCTGTGCTTATATCGATACAGAGGCTCATTTGAAATTATTAAAAGGTAAATATCTATTAAAAAGTAAATGAAGTGCATTTCTCCCATAACGTTGAAATTTTACAAAATGCACTGTAATGGTTTATCGTTGATGCTATCAATTGGTTTCTAAGCTACGATCCCCTGCCTTGACGATCCCTGTCAAGTACATGCTGTGCATCCTTCGTCTGGCATTTCATTACGCCACGTTTAGAGCCTCGAGCCACGGTTGGTTTCAACTTGTTCCAATTGAACTCTTTTCTGGAGGTTCTTTCTACAACATGCTTGTTACTTCTGTTATTTCATTCAATTACACTACGATAAGAGAGATCATTGTTTATTCATTTTTTACCTTGGGATATAATTTTTCGTCTTTCTTGTGATAGAAGATGCACGATGGCAGAGAGAAAACTCAAAGCGACGTGCATTCCGAGCCTCTTGTTAGAGTTCCTGAGATTTTTCATAGCACTGTTGTAGCACCTGGGTCTTTTCGCACTAAAACGTGACACAAACGAATTTCGATTAGCTATCACATAGGATATCTATAAAGAAACGCTTGCTGAGCTGACGATACAGAGAAGTTTATTGTTTTAATTAATGGAGTAACCATTACATATCATACAGCATTTACAACACTGAGGGGCCAGAAGCTACAAGGCCAATACAATTATTTTGAACAAAAAATTTGAAAATTCGCACACAGTTGAAGTATCGATGACCAAGACATGGATCAAAGAATGATTCTTGTATCATGAGTCAATTCATCAGGTTAATTATACCAAACCCACACTTCACGCGTTATAAATCCAGCCGATGAAACAAGGCCTGTAAACATCTTGTCCCCAGCAATGCCAGCGCCAACACTCCTACAACAGAACAAATTAAGCTATTTGTTTAACTTAACGCTTGAAATAACAGTATAACTAACAGTATCATACAATGCAAGCCTTAGTAAAACATAACGTAAAAAAGCTAACACGCAGGAAAAGTTTCTACAGAACCCCCGAAAAGGTGCGACAATGAGAGAGGTTCCCACGGACGTTCGCTCAACGAATCTACAGAAAAAAAAACTTACATCGGTCTGTGGGCGGTTGCGCAAAATATCAAGACCTTCGTGACAACGTTCATGCTGTGCCTCCTCCTTGTATTAAAAAATAGAGTTGAACTCTATGAGCGGTAAAATTCGTCAATCAAATTGTACCCAAACATAATTCCACGCCAACAACAATCTTGTCACCGGCATCGGCACCCTCACGAATTAGTTGTTAACAAAGAAAAGTATCAATTGTGCAATTCTATCATGGGAAGAGAATAAATCTTAGTATATACAATGTATAGAGCAGGGTTCTTAATGGACTCGACCTGCTTTACTCGAAGGAAACGAATGTCGCGATTGTCAGCGGAGTAACCAGCTAATGCAAGGTTTCAACCAACAGTAACTCAATTCACAGCTGTCAATAGACATTAACTGCATTCCTCATTACAATAATTTTCTTACCGTCTCGGCGAAGTGTAATTGGACATCAAATTCAAATCTAATCAGTAAATAATTGTTAGGTACTTATTCTGACTTGGTTCGAAATCAATGTGCCACAATTTTGTAATTACAACTTCGAATTCAATACAAAAAGATCTAATCGTGGCTACTGTATCAAACATAAGTAAAAAAAAATTAAAGATAAAATTGTACATGGACATGTGTTGGAAATAATGAAAAAAATACCACACATATATTTGCTCTAAAATGTTCTATGATATTCTTGGAAATAAGCTGCAAAAGTTGTCAATGCGAAAAAGGGCTTCTGTCGAAAACGGAATGCTTACTCCCTTTTATACATATTGATGAATTTTTCTTTACATATTATACATTCCAAGAAGCTTCATACGACACTAGTTCGGATCCGAAGTATCATCAGAAAACGCGCCAAACATTAATACGTTGAAGATATACCGATTCAACTACCTATTAATATAAGAGACCGACTAACTACCATCCAGTACATGGATACGACACAGAGAAAACTACTCGTCGGTAAAATGGATTATAATCAAATGAGAAGCAACACTCATGGAACCGGAGAGCAGCTGAAAGTGTCTCGATCCCGTATTTATTTCCATGACCTAACATGCTGCTAATAGCTCAAGAATGTAAGATTCAGCCAAATGGTGTAGGTGTAAGCTCCAATCCATAATGGAGAAAAGGATTTAGACAAAGCAAGTGTTATTAACTTGTCGCCTAGGCTAGTCAATAACTAGCCGTGATTTGTCATTCGAACCAATGAAACGTACAAGCCGAATGTAAATTTTTTTTTTGACGTTATCAGTTCGCAAGAATTTCAGCAAAACAGCATGCAAGCTCATAAAGGGTTTCTGCACCTTTCATAACCATGCCTGAAATATCGATGAAGCTTAGAATTTTCTCTCCTAACACTCAATGTGAGAAAGGTTTCGCTGTAAAACTTCGATTCACAATTGACAGACAATGTTTGGATAGCTCGTTTCATTGTTTCCAATCGACGAGAAGAACCTTCAGAAACGACCAAACTACAATATTATCGATACAAAAAACGATAGAAGAAAGCATCACAACACCAGAATGGACAGCTAAGCACACGAGGATGATTCATTAAAATTATAACACAAACAATAACCCTACAGGCAGGCACAGAGCGAGCTAAGATCTTCCTTCGTAATGAGTATTTACAAATTTCTATACAGGAGTAACACAGCTCGGCGATATATCACGTCTTCCTTCTCTGTACAATGCACGTCTACAAAATGAATTGTCCCAAATGTACACATTTTCTCTGTACACTAATTTCATACAAGAAATGTTTACACGTACCAGATGACTGGTGTCGGCATTGTTCCACCTTTATTCACAGAATTTACAATTTGAACACGGTTGCTTAGGAGGTTTTGGCGAGGACACTTCTACAGTATGCACACAAAGTTTGCCTATGCCTGCCTGTGAGGGAGATCGCTAACGTACACTAGTAAAGCTACTAGTAAATATGATATTAATCGCTTGCTCACACTCCCATACGCCCAAAATTGGAACCCAAAATTATGGCGAAGTGGAGGAATCGTTGAAGAAAATACGACGGCAGAAAATTGAAAAGCCCTGCAATCAGTCACCCTGAGGAATAAACGCACGAAACCGAAAAAAATAATAGCAATAGCATAGGAACTCAACACGGAGGACGGCACAGCAGAAACCGATGTCAGAAATCGATGGTCTTAATAAAAGTCTTTTCCTCGAGGCACAAGACAAGTAATCAAGAATCGTGGGAGCTCAGGGCTGTATCAACAAAAAGAAACAAAGGTAACACCACATAAACAAGTAGGAAAATATAGTTTTGAACTGTACAGCAGATTTACAGTAATTAATGCCCCCTCACAAAAAAATGCCTGTACACATTTCAAAATTCAATTACAATAATGAGCGAACGAGAGACTGATGCAACCGGGAACATGGAGCAGTTTGAACAAATATGTTAACGGCAATGATGACAGAATAGCTCTCACACACACGCACTAAACAAGGACTCTTCAACCCAAAGGGTAAAACTACTCAAGAAAACACAATTCTGCAGTCATTTAACACTAATAAGATAATAGTAATAATCACTTAAAACTAAACCGGTTACGATACGCAGCCTAATAAAAATCTAGGCAGCTTCTTTCGCCCAGTTTCACTAACAGTAAATCGCTTATGGAACCCCAATACTAGCTAGAATTTCTCTAACACATTACTGATTATAAAGTCAAGAATGATACCATAGCTCTCTCCAACAAGATAAAAATAGAGGCCTTGGCAGACGTGAAACAAAAGTCAGTATAATTAGGGAAAAATCATGCTGTAAATAATCATAACGAATTCGTTCATTACGGTCTCGTTTAAGTTAACTGTTGATTATCAAACATTATCCCAGAGTCAATATCACTGACCACATGAAAAACTATAGGCAGCGCTGAACAAAGACGACCGTTCAATGCTTTGATAATCAAATCCTTCAATTAAATGAAACTGAAATTCTTCAAATCTCAACGCTGGTCACTTACTACTGATACCAAATAGCAAACTGCAACTTGACTGATGTCTTAATATCGACTTTAACACCAAACAGTCACATCATATATGAGTGCAAGACAAATCTATGTGGGTGACTGAACACAATATTGAATTTATTACGCAGCATATGCTGATTTCGAAAGTGTCTCATTTAAGTCGCCTTATTAAGAGACAATGCATCATTTCAAGCAAGAACAAAGAGCAACTAGGATATCGGAGCGATATCGTAACTACAACAGCTACAATACACGATTAACTTAAAGTCCTAGAATAGCAGATTAATGTAATAAAGAGCGAGTCGTCATTCAAGCGACGAGGGAACAAAGGCTTCAATTCGAGCGTGTATGCTCACCAAAACGTATACTCTCAAGCACATCAGTGCATGTGCCATCAGTAGGATACGCCGTCAGTACAAGTCGACTTAAACTTGGTCAAATAATTGACGCGAAAGACAAACGTTATACTAGTTATGAAAAAAAAAACATTCCAACGCACAGGAATCAATAATTAATGTAAAATAACGGGGTTGGCGCGAAAAGACTATAAGACGAATGAATTGAGAGAAACCTTCGATCAAGTCTAAAATATTATTACTACATTTATGTTAAAGTCTACAATGTTACACCTATGCAAAATGATGGACAGAAAACTCGGTCGACAAAGTGTACTTGAAAAAATCAAATGAAGCTCTGAAGAACCGCAACAAGCATGCCGTCCGGGCCTCGTGATGGTTTACATGGAATTTCCCATTGTGCCACCCATTGAGTCGTTGTTCTTCATGAAATACTTCTCCAGTTTCGCCAAGATATGTTTACCTGGAAAATTAAGATGTATTCGATGAAGGGAAACTGAAGAATATACAACGATTTTCTATGTTAGATACAATTTAGCAATTTAATGGCTAGTTATATGAAAGGAAAAAGTTTTAGTATAATTAAGAAACGGAATAAAATTTCGTTCCATCAGAAACTCACCATAAGTGTACTTTCGCAAAGTCGCGATGTGGGGTCGAATTTTGTGCATGAGAATTTTTCGCTGTGCAGGCTCAGCAACATCAATCATCTTCTGTACCACATAATTGGCGTACTGGTCCTTCATGAGCACAAGGAGTGTGCTGTGGGCGCTGTCATTGTAGCCTCCGCAAACCTGCTCAGCATTGTAAACGGTCAGAGTGTCAGGCAAGGCTGCATAACTGACTTTGTTTGTAATAGAAATTAGTGCCAAAAAATGTATACCTGCAGTTCTGAGATAACAGTGGATTTACATACTTCATAAAATCCCTCAAATATTTTAATTTGAATCAATTTCCTACAAGTAAGAATGTCAAATAAACGAAAACTATGCTGCACACAATATAGACCTCTTCAATAAGTATTGCTCGCTCAGATCTAGTAGCATGGGTGACACATTTCTCGACGACATTGCTGGCGAATTTGTGCTGCGACAGTTTCAGAACGTTTCCACGAACGCCGTTCACAATTTTGCTCTTCTCTTCCGTCTTGCCATGTTCTGTAATTGACAATGAAAACGCAAATATTTATTGAGCAACTATAAAGACTTGTGTTGATAGCACTGAGTCCAAGTATGATGACTGCACTCAAAATTTTAAGATCAATAAAAAATAGTACAATTGCTTCTAATCGATGAGACGTAGGTGCGTAGGCACCCTTACCTAAGACATGCTGGATGACGTAGTTGCCATACTGATCCTGGAGCAGCTGGTCGGTGTGCTGGTGCAACTCTTCCAATATTGGGCCGGTCTGCTCAGCCATGCAATGCTCCAAAATGCGCTGGATGACGCGGCATCCGTAAGGATGAGTTGAGAGGCTGTACACTTGCCCCTGGAATGCGTTGATGATGAACTGCAGAGCGTTCGGTTCCACGCATTCGATGCATTTCTGGACAACATGATTTCCTGCACAAAAACAAAATTGTAAGTAGCAGTAGTAGGGAGAGATTTCAAGCGCTCCAAATAAACAAAATTGTAAAATTTTGTCTTCTAATAACGTATGAAATGTCAAATTTTAGCATTTCACTTTACATTACTGACCATTTTGATCCTTGACGCATTTGAGAACGTGACCATCCAGCTCCCGCACAATTTCTTTCTGTTGATCTTGCGTTATGCATTCCAATGCCTTTTGAATCACGCGACATCCGTACATTTGCAGCGCAAGTGGCAGAACGTGGCCTCTGATCCGACTGGCAAGCACGCTCTTCTGTTCAGTGGATCCAAACTCGAAGAACTTCTGGATAACGTAGTTTCCTGGGTAAAGACATAATAACAATGAATTGAGAAAAACTAGAGTGACTGGACGCGTAGATGTTAATTAACTGTGTATATCAAACAATCAATTAATTTAGCCATTAATGAGTCAGAGGTGTAATCATAAACGTACCGAAAACATCCGTCATCAGCGAGTACGAAGCATTTAGGATCTCGGCAAAAACCATTTGCTTGTCAGCTGGTGTAGCTCGTTCCAGCTTTTGCTGAATAAAACGTGACCCATGCTGGTCTTGGCTGAACTCGACGATGTGATTGACGAGATCACGAAGCTGCAGGTTAGGGTAACGATTATTGCGGAAGTCTTCTAGAAGACGAGACCGACCAGCGCACTTCTCAACGTTCAAATTTTTCTTCAATGTAGGGAACAGAGCGGATGTATTGGGGGCACCGAAGTAACCTCCGTTACTGGCACCGTTCCTAAACTTGGCCTCCGCACCAGGAGCTGCGGAAATCATCCTGTTTCCAGAGACAATGTTACCCAAACCGAGTCCGGCGGCGACTCCCAAAGGGGGCGGTGGGGTCAGACTTCCCCCTAACATGGGACCCGGAGATGCGGCGACATTACCGACAGCTCCGTAGCTGCTCGCCCACTTGGGGGCTCGGAAGTCCTGGGACAGTGGAGACAAAACCGATGTGCGCTCAAGGGAGTCCCGCCGAGCCATGCTTGAACCGGTTCCCATGCCTGTTAAGAAGATATCAACATTAGACACTTACTTACTTAACTTATGACAGAATTGCAAATATATATTTGATGTTTTTATAGAATGTATTATCAAGTACATCCAGCATATAACTATGAAACCGGAAATCGTGAAATTTAATCGAAATCGTTCAGTCCGAAAAAGAAATCAAATCAACACAATCACCACTATAGATGGGTACTGAAGAAAAAAAAAACATTCAGATAACGGCAATGTTGTTAGTCCTTAAGCCCCAACCACTCACCGAGGTTTCCAATGGAAGGAGATCCAATGGTGCCCAAAGTGTTATTGCCAAAACCTAGACTACTACTTTGCAGGTTGAGAGAGTAGCTGTTGCCAGTTAGGGAGTTGGAAGTCTGCAAGCTTTGAGAGATGGAATCTGCAACGATCAAAAATGCCAGCTGAAGGTGCTTACTTTCGAAACGAGAGACAGCTAACCCTTAACATACTTGTTGACCTGACGATTTGAAGTATGTGACAATAAAAGAACTCGGCTCAAGACTGATGAAATTTAATTCAAACCGAAGATATAGCTATCCTTGGTTAGTACTTCTACGAAACACAAATGCAAGAGATTAAATATTCATTAGTGCATAACGATCGTTACATAAAAGCAAACCCATGATCTTCATGTGCTACTATCTACAGACTGCCAACATTCTACCACATAACACAAGCATGAAATTACTGTTAGAAGTTATTTTTAATATGAAAATAGACGTTGCACTAAATAATTTGAAACTGACCAGCAATGGAGTTATTGACAGTGAAGGAAGGCGTGCTGAGGCCATTGCCGCTCTGGGTGCTGCTGTACAGAGATGCAGGAGGTGTTCCGATCTGAGGCGCCTGAAAAAAATAGAGCATCAATCAATAAAAATTAAAGCACCAATACACGAACTAGGTTCAAATCCATGCAAACATACAAATTTAAACTAGAAAAAATAAGCACATGCTTAAAGAATAATTCATCTTATAGATGATGCTGTCAACAAATCGTTCAGAAACGAAGCTAAACAAATAACTCGTCATAAATGAATAAGAAAATTTATGGTGAACATAAATAAATATAAGGATCTTACCTGAGATGACATGAGCCTGAGGGTAGTCGGAGGTTGCTGCTGAGGTTGTGGTCCGTTGGCCGAGTTGATGATGACGGGCGCTGGTGACACGAGCCTCACGGCGCCACCGTTCCCAACGCCACGCAAGTTACCCGCCATCAACATGGCCCCGTTTTGGTCGTAGTACGTCGGGATTACCTGAAATGACAATTTCACGCATCACTTAAAATGAGAATAAGTATAGCAAAATAAAAATGAAAAGCAATGATTAACGTGAGTTTTAAATAAAATATCTATCAAAATCATTCTTTCATACTAACCTATGCGAAGTCTTGGTACTTTCATGACACAATTGCTCACCTGATACTGCTGCAGATTCTGAGCCAATCCTCCATTATTTTGACTCGTGACATCATTCTGAGATGGCGACAGTGGTCGTCTCTGTTGCTGCTGCTGTCCTGCAGCTGCAGCAAGTTGAGCTGCAGCGCCTTGCTGTTGCTGCTGCTGTTGTTGCTGCTGGATGATGTTAGCCGGGTAAACTCCCCAGTGCACTCCATAGTACTGAGGGATAACTGCTGCGGCGCCCGGTGCTGTATAAATGAATTTGCATGAAACCGTTTCGTCAAGTAAAAGACCCTCTGCCTAAAGCAGATATTGAGTGACCTCTAAGTGGTAACATGAACTGTTAACGCATAGGTCACAAATGGAATATTTTTTGGAAAGGAGGAACAAGTTTTCAACTAACATTATTAGACGCATTTAAATTCTCACTATTAAGAAACAATAACACGCCTGCTTTTGAACATTTTTACAGTAAAGCATAAGTGCAGGAAGCGGTGGCTAGAGCAGCAGAACATGGCAACTCACCGGCAATAAGCGTGTATGGCTCCTGAGCAGTATTGATAACGTAAGGTGCGTTGGGGAAGCCTGCAGCAGCTGGAGCCAAGCCTGAAATAAAATCCATCATATGAAATAGCCAACACAAAACCAACGCAGTCTGAAGGTGCTTCTGTTCTCATATGTTCTGTCATATGTTATAAAAGAAAATAATTCAATCAGGTGACGCAAATATATGAATTGAGAAGAAAAGGAAGAAAAAAAAGCAAATGGAACTCTGTTGACGTCGCAGTAGAAAAAAACGGGAATTTTACAAGAAAATAAAGCATAATCGACAAGTAAAATGGAACAGCCACTGAAAACTTTTATTCTGGTAATTTGACTCGACAAAACAACACATATCGTGGGTGGCAGAACTAAAGGTGACGTGTTGTTTTGAACCGGCGACAAAATAATGCAAGGCGTCGTTGCTCAGTAAGTGCATTGGCGAAGGCTCGCCAGACTGATGGGCGCCGTCAAATCGGGAAACCTGCGCACTCAAGTAACGTCGCTCCGTAGCCACGAACAGGACAGCTCAGAAAACTAAGTGACATGCGCTCGAAGGGTCTCCATTACCATAACTGATGTCTTGAAAACACACAAGCCGTGAGGAAAAAAAACTAAAATTTGAAGATGAAGAAGACAGATTTTAGTGTCTAATAAATTTGTGTGAATTTCCGTTCAATATAGATTTATGAAACGCAAAAATGCAAAAGTAGGAAGAACTTGCAAGACAGAATTCAGAGAGTGAAATGATGTAATATCGATGGTGCTTGAAAGTGGTTAGTTTGGTTGGCGTACCCTGCTGAGCGAGGTACTGCTGCTGTGCGGCCAGGAGCTGAAGCTGCTGCTGAGGTCCTGCAGCAGCTGCCGCCGCAGCAGCTTGCTGTTGCTGCTGCTGAGGACTCCGGAACAACTGAAAAAGACAAAATAAATATTTTTCAGACCATTACATTGTGTAATCAAAGAGCTAAATATTCTAATTTTCAATATTGTAAACAATAAATTTCGAATAGCAAGAATTCACTTTACACAAATGGAAAATGGGAGTTAGGTTTCAGTAATGATTCAATTTTATTCAATGATTCTAGAATCTCACAAGACTGAAGCCAGATGAGTCGCAAGATAAATGGAGACACAGAAAACGAGAAAGTGCACAACGAAATTCTGCCAGACGTCTCGGTCTTACTCGATCGACCGAATTGAGAACATTATTTATCACCGAAGAATACAAGTCGTTGAGCTTTAGAAAAATTGTTCAACTTTTTTCGAACAGAGCTCGCAAGACAAAAACTTGTGGTTCCAGGAAAAGGAAGGAAGGAAAAGGACCACTAGCATTTTAATTCATAATAGGCCATCATGAGACGATTGGTCAAACAGTTTTCGTCGAAGCCAGGATGTCTTCCATACCTGAGTAATATTTAAATTAGAAACCATCAGAAGGAACTCTGATAAACTAAGTACTACGATTTTAAAAAAATTAAAACGTTAAAATTAGCGTAAATTATTTACACCACATGGAATGTCTCGATATCTATACTTTGTTTCATGCTGCTTCCGAAAAATATACAATTTACAACAAACTACTTACCTTTTTGAGCTTTAGATTATCAATATCCAGGAAGGACTTAGTTAGATCAACATGAAGGGTGAAGCGCTTCTCCTTCAACTTCATTTTGAGATAGTGAGGGATTGATCACAAGAAATCCACCGTGATTGAAACTTTCTCAGTAACAACAGTCGTTTTCAGTACTAATATTGTTAGTTTTATTAAGTGTGCATTAATGCAAGAAGCTGTGATTTTTTTATATACACTGCACTTCGACAAGTCCGTCTATTGTCACGTGCAGGTAAGGTGAGCATAAACGTTTAAATATTTCTCACTTTTCATATTCATTCAAGAGCTTTAAGAAGGCACTTGAATCACTGAAGCCAACTAATAGAACATACACAGCTGCAAACCTCAACAAAACCATATATTTTAATCAAAGTTGTACACGAGTTAATCAACACAAATATTTGTGAGCATTATCATATGCCTATACAAATATTATTTACACAGGGTTAAAAGCTAAATATCTGACACGCCCGTAGCCAGATCCGATCCCAACCACTGCCACGAATGGCGGTGGAATCCAAAGATAATGGAACGTTAACACACTAATAATTATGTACGTAATATTTAATCATTCAGAAAATGCAGATAATTAATCCACTTTCTGCCCAGTGGCAGCCCTAAGAAATTCACAGTTCTGAAGGTAGTTGGAGGTTGCGACAGCAAGGCGTCGCACAGTCACAATTGCATGCAAATTAATTCTGGCAGCGAGAAACCAAACTACGACGGCATCGAAGTTGTGGACTGAGAACGGAGTCTCCAGTTCTCTCCGATTGTTACTCATTGCCAGCATCAAGTTGGGTTTGTTTCGCGGCCACCGACTGCGCTCTGTTATAAAAGCATATTGAAAATATTCTAAATAGTTAAAATGAAGGACGTTAATCTACGATAGGTAATCTAGAAGTTAAATTTATTCCTCCAAAAGCTAAGGAAAAGTAAAAGAAAAGATCGGGAAAAGATAAAAACTGAGCAAACAATATTATTGCAGCTTAAAATTTGTCTGCAAATAACTATCATGTTCGTTCAGAAGCTTTTTGAACACTGGACTCACAGGAGTGCGACTTGAAACAAATTTGTTCAATGTTTGTACATGAAAATAGGGAATGAAAACGTGTTACAGCACATACGTGCAAACAGAGGAAACATGCAGAATATCGGCAGTTTTAATTACAATGGCCGGAGCCATTAGAAGGTCATTAAAGCAAACACTAGGAGTTATAGGGAAACGTAATTAAAGAGGCAGCGCTACGCAGCAAGGCTCAAATGATCCGACCAGCAACGTGAACTTCAGTCAAGAGGCGGAGCGAAACACCTCCACATCTCTAATGAAGAAAGTGCGAGCATTCGAGTGATGCAGAAATTACAGAGCTTACTCAAGCATATGCACTCTTAACTCCTTAAAAATATGGAGAATTGAATAATATTCCGACATGAAGGCACTATATAATTTCAGTGAGAGAAACTACTGAAAAAAAAAACAACTTTCCGATTCATTGTCGATATAAACATAATAAATTTTGAATGGAACTGACCCCTTCGAAAATTAATTAGGTCGTGAGGAAGAATGAATCGTGTTTAAAAATCCCACCAACAGAATCAAAATAAAAAAAATGAGGAGTCATCACTCACCGAACCTTTCACAACAATTGGGAGATAAACTTGGACCATAAACACAAAAGCGTCTTTGACCAGAAAAGATAGTGAGCAAATATAATCGTCCCACGTGCGATTTTTTTCTGTACCAAGGTTTTCGTGGACAATAGAGACCAGATTGTGTTTTTTTTTGTAAAAAGCAACGTTGCAATGATGCTATAAGAGTCTCCTCGCTCCATTGCACCAATGTGAGGGGGTCGTCTATACTTCAACACACAATACAAACCTAACCTAACTAATCACACGACACGCACAAAAGCGTGGAATGCAATGTAAGGTAAAAGAAGCTTCAAACCGGAAGTAAAAATAGAGATTTGTTGTATAAATCGCATTGGCCATGATGGGTTAATGTGATTCATCGCAACTCCTAATATGAAAGCAGAATGAAATTGGGTAGGTATAATAATAGGCCTTACACGCAAAAAAAATAATAACGCGGAGCACAAGGCAAAACACAACTTCATTTGCTATTATTCGCTTACGATAATATTGTCCTATTGCATTCAATGGATAAAAATGGCTGGTAACTGAAAAAAATGTGGCAGCACAACTAATAACGACAGAATAGATAACGGAAATCATTCATTGTAATCGATTCCATTGCGACTCGATAAGGTTAACATTAAAAGGGACAATGACTATCGTATTGTCCTTGATCTTCCTATAAAAGCGTCGATTTAGCAATAAAATAAAACTGCTTCCTACGGCATTGCTATAGGTAGAGGAGGAGGATGACGTCATATTGCACCAACAAGCAATATCGACTACGGGGTACCGTTGTTCAGTTTCAAAACATCGACATTGCGACAGTAATATTCCTTGTTTATTGCAATCCCAACCCAAACTCTTTAACGGCTACCTCAAGTACTACCGGAAGCTCAAAAGAATGCATGCTAATTAAATGCGAGTTGCGATTTTGGACAATAGTAATGTAAAACATTGTTAGGTGGGTGACTATCCCTCAAGACTCCAAGGGACGACACGTAAACAGTTAAAAACAATGTACCTGTAATATAATTGCGTTCACAACAATGCGGTGGTGCTTAATCTCAATACGGACAATGAAAGTGATTGCAACATATGCTAGTTGAAATAAAGTGACTTTTAGCGAATTTAAATGAGGGTTTAACAGATCGTGGCAAAAATCATTGTAGCACTTAGTAAAAATGAGTGATGGCGCTTATCGGAAAAAAGTTGCGAATTCTACTGAAGTTACAAAATACGCAGCTATCACCGCACAGTCGCTTTGCTCAAACGTCACACTGCACTTTGAAGTTAGGAAGTTATTAACGAGTTCGAATAAATGAGCTGTTGAGGTGCGTTTGCGGTGAAGTCAAAATGGAGAGCAAGAGTCGCTGACATAGAGCTGCTCAGCATCAGGTAGCATACTAGTACATTAAAGAAACAAGTCACGTACAGGTGTCTGTGTCCGCTCGGGGACCCGCGCTCACACTGCAGCCTTTCTGCCACCTGCGTCACCTCGAAACCCTGCACCAGGAGTCAATTTCTCCATCCATGATATAATGTAAATAAACTAGTATATCCTTTTCATCACAAAAAAATTGCATACGAATAATAAACTGTTTGGTGCTAACATCGAAAAATTCATTGGGGCATTGATTTTGGACGTATCTTAGGGTAACTTTTTTACTAAACGAAATTAAACGTTAATTAAATTAAAGAAAAAAACTTTTATATAATAGGCAAGCCTGAACTTGAATGTGCTTGCATTCGTCAAGGATGCAAAAACGAAAACAAAAACATTTCAAAGGAAGTGAAGCACAAGTTACGAGAGTCGCCCAGAGGACAGCTTTATGTAGCCGGGAAAGAGCTTGGGGCTGTGATGACGATAACAACAGCGACTGCAGAGAAAGGTGCGTGTGCGTCTTGCAAATAACACACGTTTAAAAAAAAACAAGCAGCCATCAATGAAAAACTCGATAAAGATGTAATTATACGGAGGATATCAGGAGTTTGGAATCAGCTGATCAATAGTCAGTAAAGCGATTTGGAACGTCAGTTCAGGTCACGAGAGGCTATCACGCACCCACGAAATAATACCTTGACTAAAAAAATGACTCCCAACATTTCCACTTGGTAATCAACAAAAATGAGAAAATTTCACTCTAAAATTAATATCAGAATACGATTTAATGATATTTTGGGAGACTGAACTATTTAGAAAAAACTTTCCAGCTATTTAGAGCATTATTAATAGACGAGAGTGATCAACTTTGGGAAGAATCCGATGTTCCTCTACAGCACTTATCAGATCATGTTTGCAAAAAAAGGTTGACTTAAATTTCAGTGGTACTAGCACATGACGTATGTTTTAAATTTAATTGAAATATCGGTCAAAGTGAAGAATTCCGGCTTGCGAACAATGTCGGGCGAATCCAATAAAATATTCAAATTGGTCGCTTAAAAAGAATGGCACAGGTTCTACCAAAAAGTCGACGAGAAGACCAGTATTGATGGCCGTCAGTCTAAATTAAAGAGAATGACCAAACGTCATCTATGTGTATAGCAGGAAATACACATAAATATCAAGCTTAGCTTTAAGCTAAATTTTTTCACAGGTGATGCTCAAGAAAGCTTCAAAAAAGGTATTCACAAACAGCAAAATAATAGAGTGCTCAAGGACCTATATACGCGAGAGGCTTAGAAAGCTGTTTTGTGCATGAAAAGAACCAGGAATAAAGGCTGAGTGTTGCGTCGGGAGTTTTGTCGATAGTGGACTCTTCTTCAACGCCCTCTCCTTGATGACCCTGGGTCGAAGAAAACCCTCAAGTTTGGCGCTCCTGAAACGTAGTCGACCGAAACAAACGCCAGTCGCGCATGTTAGCAGAAAGCGTGAAAATATTCCTACTAATAATAATAATTAAACAAATCAACAACAATGAAAATTGAACAAAGTAACGATTAAAGCTTTCGCGTTTTACCACCCTGTTAACGACTTTTTAATCACCATGTTAACAACTTTTTTTGGCCCACTTGCAAATTTTCACGAAAAAAAAAATAAAATTGTGTGAACACGTTTTCATTCAATTTTTGTTGTGAATATCACAAAGAAAAACATCATAAGCCACAAAGACATACTAAAAAACGATATATGCCAGTTTCAAGAACAGACCCACATCAACACAGATTCCATCTCTCACAAATCTTGCATAGGTAATTCATCTAAAATATCGAGGCAGCAGCCGGAACGAGATAATAGGTTTGGAAGAGTCGTCATGGAAGGGCACGGAATGACTAACATCATCACGCGATGCGCTTGAGCGTTCAGGTCAACACGCACAAGATGGCTCGCAATTCAGAACTAGAGCGTCCTCTATTATCGGCTCTAGGTTCTCGCGAGGGGCTCGTTTATCAACAATCCATAAAAAAAAGGAAGAAGCATTTGTATAAAGTGGTTCATGCAGAAAATATTTCACGAAAAAAAATTGAAAATTACCGCGCATTATTTGTGAGAGTTTAGACAAGATCTAATGACAATTAACGAACAGACTGAAAATCAGCTAATATCTGATTCCAGAATTCAATTTAATAATCAATTCTACATCGATCAGCTAAAAAAAAGGCAAGTAGCTGAACTTTTATTATAGAATTGCTTCGATGTATCATTCTAATGAAGTAAATGATTTTCGTGTTCGACGAAACGGGAAAATTAAACTTGATGAGGACAACGGATCACGACTAGTCA